TGAGCAGGAAGCCCCAAAAGAGCCATTTTTTCAAGGCATTCCATGAAAAATGATGTTCTGATCCATGTAGTTGCATTTTTATGTCAAGCCCAGGAACCTAAAACATGAGATATCAGGACAGAACCCCCAGGTTCCACTGTCCTCCTGCCCTTTCTGCTCCCAGTTTTCAACCTCAAGACATCCCAAAAGCAACAGGAAGACTTGGGAGCAGCCCCTGGATTCTCATGGATAAGCTGGTTTACACCTGCAGGAATCTGTGAATTCCTTCTCCACTCATTCCCACCACAACCAAACCCCCGCTTACGGCCTAGCATGGGGGACAAGGGGCAATCCCAGCTGTCCAGGGGTCACCTCACTCCCTCAGCTCCACTATTCTATATTCCTTCATCCAAGGAAGTCAGGGAAATGCTCCAAACCTCTTCCTGCAGGGCGACACTTCCTCCTCACAGGCACCAAGTGTTCCATAATCAAAATCACCAGGAGTGTTAACCAACACCAGGAACATGGGAACAGGCTGTCCAGAGAAGTTGTGGATAACAGAGGGAGGGTTTAGATGGGATATTGGGAAGAAATCCTTCCCTGGGAGGGTGCTGAGGCCCTGGAAAGGATTTCCCAGAGAAGCTGTGGCTGCCCCATCTCTGGAATGTCCAAGACCAGGTAGGATGGGGCTTGGATAGTGGAAGGTGTCCCTGCCATGTGGGACTGGATGATCCTTAAGGTCCCTTCCCACCCAAACCATTCCAGGATTCCTTGATCACACATATCCAAACATTCCCCCAGGCAAAACCATCGACTCCCGATTCCTGTGCACACACAGAGCACAGCAACCCCTGCACAGACACACCGCTGCTCCACAGACAACATTCCCAGTGTTCCAGCCACTTGTGCTCCATGAAAACCTGGAGCTGTTGGATAACTTCCATGGAAATCTTCCCCTTCTGCTGAACCAACTCTTGTCTTTCCCAGATCCACCTCAACCCCAAACCTGTTCAACTTCCAGTGCTTGCTCTCCTTTCTCTCTTCCTTTCCCGAATTCCCGCTTCCCAGCCCCCGCCGGCCCCGCTCCGCACATCTTTCCCGCTGTACATTCTTCCCCAAGCCCTTATCTCATAAATTAGCCAGGAGAGGGATCCCAAATAGCTGAGCCGTGGCGTAAGCGTTTCCCTGAGGCAGGGGCGGGCAGGAGCAAGGGAAAGGTTGGGAGCAGGATGCCAGCCAAGGGTCAGACGCTGTCAACTCCCTCCTTTTCCTTTGAATCCAAACACAAACGCTCCAGGAACACTCCCAAACCCATGGAAATCTCCTTTCCCTCCCCTGCCAGAACCCTCCCCGGCATCCCATGCTCCCTGCTCCAGGATTTTTGCCTGAGCTCTCCTCAGGCAGGATGGGCTTGGGCACCTCCAAACACATGGATCAGCTGTGCTAACACAAACCACAGAGCTTGGGAAGATTCCTGAGTGGGAAGGGATGATCCATAAAGATCATCCAAGCCCAACTCCTGGCCCTGCACAGGACAATCCCAAAAATTCCACCATGTTCCTGTGGACAACAAGAATCTTCCTAACACAGAAGCCCAGCTTGAGGACGCTCAATACAGAAAGCCAGGATTGCATTCCCTGCACCTTCATCCCAGGAAAGTGTGAAATTATTCCCAATGCATCTTTTCCCTCAGAGAGTTTTCCCATCCCAAACACCAGAGCAAAGCTTGAGATCTTTCCCATCATTTTTCTGCTTCTCCATCCTCACACGCCTCAGATCTCGCCCACAAAGAGCTGACAGCCATATTCCAGGGAAATAAGGATATCTGGGAAAACAAGATTACCCAGGGAAACAAGGATATCCATGGAAGTAAAAATACCCAGAAAAACAAGGATATCTAGGGATACAAGGATACTCAGAAAAACAAAGGGTACCCAGGAAAACAAAGACATCCATGGAAATAAATATATCCAGGAAAACAAGGATACCCAGGAAACAAAAATACACAAGGAAATAAGGATATCCAGGAAAACAAGGACACCCAGGGAAACAAGAATAGTCAGGGAAATAAGGATAACCAGGGAAACAAGGAAATCCTGCCTGAGCAAACACCAAGGAAAATTTAGGAAAATCCAGGTCCATCGCTCACAGCCAAGAAAACCGGAGGCACCAACCAGAGCTAAGATCTTGGGAGCACTTGCTTCCCAAAATAAGCCTGGCTCTGCAGATGGGACCAGCCAAATTCCAGGATTTGGAATGACCACAGGCACCGATTCTTCCCCAGCTCCACCAGCACAGCCCCCACTCCCAAACGTCTCCGTGAGGAGCCCAGTTAATCCTCGTCTGACACTGGGAAATACAAAGGGCTCAGGGATTCCTCTTAAATTTTCTGGGATTGCTTACAGCAGGCTCAGATCCTGGGAAAATCAGAGTCAAGGAAAAGAAAGAGAATTCCCAAATTATTCCAGGGTTCTCAGCCTACAGGAAGAAATCTCTTCAGGGATGGGATGATATGTGAGAAGAAGAAAATATTTCACTCCAAGAGAAAAAGAGTTTGGAAAATTATTTCCTTATGATGGGAATTCAGTGATAAATTTTAAAGGAGTGATGGGATAATTAATTTATTCCTGTAAATTATTAAATTCCAACAGTTCTATTGTTCACCACATCCAAAATCCATTAATTCCTCAGGAGGGCCAGATTCCAGAGTAAATCCAACTCCATGCCATGATTTAAGGCCCTGACCTTCACTCCCAAAAAACCAGAGGATCAGTTTGGCCTCAGAATTCCGCGGAGCACCACAATTAAACTGGGCACAAGAGGGGAAAAACTGAGCAACAATTCCTGGTGGTAAAACTTCCTTCTCTTCCCTTCTCCTCCTCCAGCTCCGTGTTGGAACAGATGCTCTGGAATAACAGCGGGAAAGGGATTGAGCTGCCCAAACAAAGTTGTGCTCCATGGAATATTTGGCTCAGAGAGGTTTTAAGAAGGATTTTATAGCTGAGGGTAAGAAATATCCTTCAGGCACAGTTTCCTTGATCCTGGATTTTTACAGGAACAGGATGGTTTTGATTCAAGAAAGAAAGAAAGAAGGAGAAAGAGATAAAAAAAGGGGAAAAGGAGGAGGAAAAAGGGAGAAAGGAGAAGGAAAAAGGGAGAACAGGAAGAAAAAAGAAAGAAAAAAAGAAAATAGAGAGGAAGAACCTAGAATGGCTGAGGTTGTCAGGGATCTCTTGGAGTCACCTTGCTCACCCAGAAAGAATGGGAAAATAGTAAAAGAAAGAAATCTCCACATTATGATAAATACGCTCTGGGGAGAGGGAGAAATTCCATGAAGAGACAGAGAGCTGGTCCATAAACAACATTGGGATGCAGAGCCAGAGCTCTGCAGGACTCCCGGGAGGTGCTCAGCACCCTCAGGATGGGAAGAGGGAAAGGAGAATTTAAGAGTTTGGCCCAAGTAAAATCCTAAAACCAAAGGAAACCTCGGAAGACTGCAGAGAACATGGGCTGGGAGCAGCTGATAAGAGCCCTCATGGTGAGGCTTCCCATCTTCCCTAATCCTGGGGCTCCTGGGAATCTGGGATCATGGTCAGAACTAACAGGAGGTGCTTCTTCCTTTGAAGAAGATATGCCTTATGAGAGATCAGATGGATGCCGGGAGAGAGGGAAGCAGGGAGGAAGCAGCTTGAGCTTCCACTTGCTCCCAAGAGCATCTTCTGTTCCCACTTTCCAGGACAAATCCTTCTGCAAGACAAAGAATCCACAGGGACACTATTGTCCCACCCCAACTGCCTCTGGGGGCTCACTGCACAATCCCACTGCTCCTAAGGGGCTGGATCATGGATCGGGATCCACCCCAGGACCTGTCGGGGCAATGGAGCCTCACCAGGATGGGCACGTTATTCCCTCAAGCAGCACATCCATGTGCCAGGGGCTCATCCCAAAGGACACAGCCCATGGCAACTACACCTCGGCCTGGCAAGTGACCAAGAACCCCACTGGAAAACAAGGGAGGAAAACAAAGCAACGAGGAGGAAGGAGAAGGATGCAGCCACTCTGAGGAAGAGCGGAGCGTGCCAAGCAGACCAGAGCAGGGAAGGGAACATGGACCTGAGGCAGGAATAACAATGGGATCAGGCAACACATCCCAGTGCAGCCATGAGCAACCACATTCCATCCAACAGAGGCCAACTCCTCTTCCCAAACACTTTTCCACTCTGGTGGGAAGGAGAGCGATCCAGAGCCATGCGGTGTCCACAAGGATCCAGGTTCCAGAAAACATCTGGAATCCATAGGCCAGAGCCACTGCCATGAGCCTGCTCCTGCTCCAAGGATGGTGAGGGACATTCCAAGGTCCATGCTGGGGTTGCAGTGGGAATCTAACGCATGGCACAACACAATTCCGAGGATATCCAGCTTGGCACCCACGGTGTGCACTGAAGGATGCACAGCTGCCCCTGGATTGTGCCCCAGGACAGGGATCTGTGCCATTCCAGAGCTGGACAAGGCTAGGATGGTACAGAACCAGACTGAGAGAGCTGGGATTGTTTAGCCTGGAGAAGGGAAAGCTCCAGGGATACCTTGGAGCCCCTTCCAGTGCCTCAAGGGACTCCAGGAGAGGTGGAGAGGGACTTTGGCAAAGGGCCTGGAGTGACAGGACAAGGGGGAATTGCTTCCCACTGCCAGAGAACAGAGCTACACGGGATGTTGGGAAGGAATTCCTCCCCGTGAGGGTGCTGAGGCACCGGAATGGGTTTCCCAGAGAAGCTGTGACTTCCCCATCCTTGGAAGTGTCCGAGGCCAGGTCGGACGGCGCTGGGAGCAACCTGGGACAGCGGAAGGTGTCCCTGCCCACGGCAGGGGGTGGCACTGGATGAGCCTTAAGCTCCCTTCCCACGCGCCCCATTCCAAGGCGCGCGCCGTGCGCTGCCTTTGGGGGATCCCGGGATCGAGCCGGGATCGAGCCGGGATCGAGCCGGGATCGAGCCGGGATCCCGGGACCGCGGTGCTCCCGTTACCTTCAAAGAAGCGCTGCAGAGCCTCCGTCTCGTCCACCACTTCCATGGCTGGGCCATGCACGGGCCGGCCCCGGCTCAGTCCGTGCGGCTGCAGGGAGGCATCGCCCCGGCCCGGGGGGCTCCGCCGCGACCCCCGAGCCCCGCTCTCAGCGCCGGGCTCCCGGTGCCCGTGCCCAGCGCGGCCGCCCGATGCCCATCAGCGTCCGCCGAGCGCTGCCCCGGACTTGGGCTGCTGCGGCCGCTCCTCCCTCTCTCCCTGCTGCCCTCCCTCTCTCCCTGCTGCCCTCCCTTTTTCCCTGCTCCTTCCCTTTTTCCCGGCCCTTCCCCGCCCGCTGCTCCTCCTCCGCCCCGCAAAGGGGGTTCGGCAACGCCGCCGAGTCCCGAGGTTGCCAAAAGTCACCCAAAAAACAGTGGCGAGGCACCAGGAGGAACCCTGCGAACTAAAAATCCGGTGGTGAAGCGCTAAAAAGCAGTCACGAGGCACCAAAAAACAGCTGCTAAAGCCCCAAAAATCTGTGCACAAAGCACCAAAAAAAAGGAGCCATAAATCACCAGAAAACAAAACAAAAAGGCACAAACTACCAAAACCTGTCCAGAAACCGCCGCAAAAACAGCCAGAAAGCACTAAAATATGTGCACAAAGCACCAAAATCCCTCACAAAGCATCAAAATTTGTTCACGAGGCACCAAAATCCCTCATAAAGTACCAAACCCTCCTCACAAAACACCAAGATCCGCCACAAAATCACAAGCTACCAAATATCAGCCAAAAGCTGCCAAAAATCCAGCCACAAACCACTGGTAGAAAAACAACAGCAAAGCACCAAAATCCAGCCACCAAAGCACTAAAAAAAAAAAAAAAAGCCCCAAGCCACCAAAAACCCAGCCACAAACTACCAAAATCTGTCCAGAAACCACACAAACAAACACTACAGAGCACTAAACTATGGCCACAAGTCACCAAACATCACAAACTACCAAAATCCATCCAGAAACCACCAAAAAAAACAGCTGCAAAGCACCAAAATTTGTGCACAATGCACCAAAAACCCTCGCAAAGCACCAAACTCCCCTCCCAAAACACCAAGATCTGCCGCAAAGCAAAGTCACAAGGCACTAAAAAAAGCCACGAGACACCAAAATCTGTCCAGAAATCACTGAAAAACACCCACGCAGCACCAAAATCTGTCCCCAAAGTCACACGGTGCCAAAAAAGAGCTACAAACCATCAAAAGTCCAGCCAAAAATGACCAAAATCCATCCAGAAACTACAATAACCCAACCACAAAGAACCAAAAACCAGCCACAAAACACCAAACCCACCACAAATTACAAAAATGCAGCCACAAACCAACAAACCTGCTCATAAAACCAGCCCTGAGGCACAAAATGCAACCACAAACCACCAAAGTCCTCCCCGAAATTCCAAAACCAGCCACAAATCAACTGAATCCAGTTTTTAAAAAAGACACAAATCACTGAAATCCACGTACAAATTACAAAACGAGTAAATCCCCAAAATCTAGCCTCACATTCCAGCCACAGACCACAAAAACAACTGCCAATCACCAAAATCCAGCTACAGATCACCCTAAAACAGCTCCAAATCATCAAAATCCAACCTCAAATCACCAAAATCCAGTCCCAGATCATCAAAATCCAACCTCAAACACCAAATCCAGTCCTAAATCATCAAAATCCAGTCACAAATCAGCCTCAGCCAGCCCCAAATACCAAATCCAGCCCTAAATAATTAAAATCCAGCAGCAAACCACCAAAATCCAGTCCCAAATCACTAAAACCCAGCCCTAAATCCACCAAAAATTAACCCTCAAATCACCCTAATCCAGCCCCAAATCACCCTAAACCAGCTGCAAATCATGAAAAGCCAACTGCAAATCACCCTACATTAGCCCCAAGCACCAAATTCAGCCTTAAATCACCAAAATCCAGCCCAAATCACCCTAAACAGCCCCCAACACCAAATCCAGCTGTAAATCACCAAAATTCAGCCCCAAGCACCAAATCCGCCCTAAATCATCAAAATTCAGCCCTAAATCACCAAAATCCAGCCCCAAATCACCCTAAACAGCCCCTAACACCAAATCCAGCTGTAAATCACCAAAATCCAGCCCCAAGCACCAAATTCAGCCCTAAATCATCAAAATCCAGCCCCAAATCCAGCCCCAAATCACCAAATCCAGCCCCAAATCCCACCCCAAAGCCCAACCCCTGCCCCCTCAGGGGAAGGCCCAGCTGTGGTTTGTTCACCCCAGATGTTCCCACAATCCCAAATAACGCCCGACTCCCCCCTTCCCCCCCTGCCCCTCCCACCCCATAATGACTCCAATCAAATAAATAAGGGCTCGCTGGGAATAATGTCCATGAAGTTCCGAGTTCTCGGAGCGCCGGGGCCCTGCCAGCCCCAAACTGTGGGGCCTTTCTGCTGCGGGCCAGCCCGGGCACAATGAGGGATTGTCCAGCCCCACATCCCAATTGAGAAGGGCAGATTCTCCGGGATATATAAATATATTTATCCCGCTCCCACAGCTGTGCAGTGACCAATTCTTCTCCCGGGAGAGGAGGGGGATTGAGGATTGGGGACAGTAATGGGTCTATTATTTCGGGATGGAGAGAACGAGCCCTTTTTTCTCTTCTCTCTCCACATTAAGACAATTGTTATTTTCTGCTCCCCTTGTTCCTGCTCTCAGCCCCCCGTCTCGGGCACAAGATGTGTGGGAAGGAAGGGAAATTTAGGGAAAATGGATTTTTCCCAGGAAGCCAAGCGCCAGCCCAGCCCAAAACCCTGTTAGACGTTGATCTGTAATATTTTAATGAAATAAAGATTAAATCCAGAACTAAAAAACTAAAGTCAGAATTGGACTGGAAGATCCTCGGGGGTCTTTTCCAACTCAGGATATTGAATCCTAGAATGCATGATTCTGTCATTTAGAATCCTAGTATCCATGGAATCATATCCCATATTTTTATAGATTCACAAAATCGTAATTTGATTTGTAGAATCCCATTCCATGATTCTATGATTTAGAACCCCAGAATCCTGGAATGATTTGCCTTGGGAGGGAATTTAAAGCTCATCCATGGAATTATTCAGCTGGGAACAGCCCCAGGCCATGAGAACCTGCTTTACAACTCCAGAGCCTTGTCCCTGTGTCCCTAGCCCTGCAGGACACTGGGAAAATCCCAGCTGGGACTCACCTTCCTTGCAGAAAGATCCCAGCATCCAAAGGGCAGATTTCCACATTATTCTGGCTCAAATATCCAACATAATTGAATATTTGGGATATATTTTTGACTGAGAGCATTCATCTTCTTCTACCCCTGCCATTCACATCCACTCCCAAAAATTCCCTTGTACTCAACTTTATTTGCACTAAAATCCTTCTTTTTATATGGCATGATGACTTTAACTTGGGATAACTCAAAGCATCAAGTTCATTCCTTAATTTCCTTCTCCACTGAAGGACAGGTTCCTAGAACTGATCTTGAGGGACAGGGATCATGGAATCCTGGAACGGTTTGGGTGGGAAGTGACCTTAAAGCCCATCCAGCTCCACCAGCACTTCCACAAGTTCCTGCCTGTGACAGCCAGGTTCAAGGAAGATCAGAAGATTTGGTGAAAGGATCCTGAGCCCCGATTTGGATCCCTCTGGATTGACCATGTTGGAGTTGCCCTGGGATTCCCCATCCTAAAGTGTAAAATCCTGTGGAACAACTCATTTACAATAAAAACAGGACACTTCCCTCCTTTCCTTAGGGACAATGTCAACATTCCCACATTCCAACCTGTCAGTGAGACAGCTCCCGAATGCCACACAGCCCCTACCAGAGAGGAAAACCCCTTTGGGAACGGTTCATTAAGGATTCAAATCCTCAAATGTGAGCCTCACCGAGTGGCTGCCATTCCCAGACCACCCTCCTCTGGACATATCCCTAGGAATCTTTGCTCCTTCCCATTTTTCCTCCTTCCCTGGTGCCTAAATCGAGGTGTGGATGATCCACATCCTTCTCACCTGAGTTTTCCTCCTGCCTCCCAATCCTGCTCAGCTCCCACTCCCCCAAGGAATGCTGCTCTTTCCCTTCCCAGACCAGATTAAAGGGAAAAGACCCACTGGAAAAACCCACTAAGAGATGGAGCCAAACCTCATCCATACGGGATGGTCCAGCTCCCTTCCTGCACTGAGCTGGGAATGCTGCACTTCAGGGACGGACTTGTGTGATACCCAAAGGATCCTAGAGAGCTCTGAATCCCAAAAAACCCAAAGTATTGCTTTGATCCATAGAAAGTTGGTTCCAGTGGATCCAAATGCAGTCCCTCATTGGTCTTCCTTTTTCTTGCCCTCCACATTTCCCACATTTCTCCCCCTTCCCAATCCCCTCCAGCTCATGCTCCCTGCAAACCCTGCTCTCCCTATCCCCACGTGGCTGGCTGGGAGCACGAGCCAGGAAGGGCTGGAGGGATATTACTTGGGATATTACTCATGGAAGGTGTGGCCGGGGCTCCCTCCAGCGCCGAATTTCAAAGTCCAGTTTGCAACAAAAGAATAATTCAGGAATTTCCCCTTCCCTTATCCCATCCCTCCCCACATCCCAACCTCCAGCTGAGATTCCCAGGAATGACTGGAAGGATTTGGAGTCTGGTTTTAACCTTTTTCCACCAGCTCTGAGCATGGACACCTCAGTGTCTGGAAGGGCGCTGGAATCATTGATCCGGCTCACACAGGAGGCTCAGCCAAGCAGGGATCAGGGATCCAGGGATATTCAATGGATAGAAGATCTATTTCTCCTGGTGGGACCAGGTCCCGAAGAAGCTGCTGGGTCGCTGTCAGAGACACTGAAGACTTGGAATCTCCTATTCACAAACCACCCCAAAATCCAGGCACAAATTCCCCAAATCCCAGAATGGTTTGGGTGGGAAGGGACCTCAAAGCTCACCCCATTCCATCCACTGCTATGGGCACGGACACCTTCCACTATCCCAGACTGCTCCAAGCTTTGTCCAGCCTAGACTTGACACCTCCAGGGATGAAGCAGCCCCAGATTCTC